CTTCAAAAAATGCACTTAAGTCCCTGCAATTTAGCCTGGAAAGTGACGAATTCAAGTGAATATTGGAGGCCCAATTGCACATTCAAAGCCCATTTGCTTTACCCTAATTTCCATTATATAATCACCTTCTTTTCACACAAACCGGGGAGGAGAAAAAGAGAGAAAAAACCTTGCCACAACACTGTTAGAATATCAAACTCTTTCAAGAACCCTAAAACCTTGAATCCTTATTACAAATCCCTCTCTTACTACAAACAAGTCATCACAGTTACAAACCAACACCTCACTACTTCTTCAGTAAGGGTAAGGCTGGCTTGATCTCCATGATCCTAATTTTCCAGTAAGACATAAAAACATTCAGGTCACTAGTTTTTCAGTAAGGGTAAGATTGATTTGATCTCCATGATCAAAAGGGTATAATCATTCATACATGCTATATTGTGCCTAAACACTAAATTTCTTCATATGTTGGTTTTATTTGAATTTTTATGATTTTATTTAATGTGTTCATGAGGTTGCAGATTTAGACAGGATCCCATGCAGGTTCATCAAGGAACGTTGAGGCCAAGACACAAATGGCCAAAAGCCAAAAGCCAAATGGCTAAAACAGAACATTTTACACATGACACCAATACATGGCGAGACAGACATCCTGAGAAGATTAAGAAACGTTGAGGCCAAAACGCAAATGGCCAAAAGCCAAAAGCCAAATGGCCAAAGTAGAACAACTTATGCATGATGAGGCCAGAACACAAATGACCAAACCACTCCAATTCACCTCCAAAAAGGGGACAGAAACTCCCCAAGGTATTGTATTTTCTTTCTTTTCCTTATTTTATTTATTTCAATTATTTTTTTTTTTAATTAATTCCTTTAATTTAACTTATTGTCATAAAATATAAAAAATAGTAAAAAACAGAAAAGTCATAAAAATCAAAATATATTTATTTAATTAATATTTTTTGTAAATAAATTTCACTAATAATTAATTATTTATTTTTATAAATCAAAATTGCATGTAAATAATTAGATTAATTTTAGGTTTAATTTTAACATGTTTTTCTTAATAAATAAAAAAAATTAGAATTAGGGTTAATATTTTAATTTCATTTAATCTTTCTCATAAAAATACATAAAAAAACATAAATACCAAAAACTCAAAAAAAAATAATTTCTTTTTTCTCTTTAATTCCATTAGTTTAATCATTTAATTTAATTTCATTAAAAAGGGTCCAACGCCCTCGTTTCCAATTTTAATTCCTATTCGCGCATTTTTATTTATTTCCTTCTTTTAAATATTTATGTAACTCTCCCAAAGCCTTGTAAACTTAATTTCTCGCACTTTATTTTATTTCTTTATTTACTTTCCGTCAAATCGGGTCCTGGATTTTAATTTTGGCGATGTGGACCCGCGCCTTTGTAATAGTTTAGAACTTTCAATTTCCGCATCTTTTTTAACTGTTAAATAAATGCATGCAAGAATGAATGACAAAAAAATAAAAACAAACGCATAGATCACCCATAACCTGACAAGACAAAAATAAATAAATCTGACACACAAATCACACACCACCCCTAGGGTACGCCTCACTGTTGCCTTGCCTCGAAAGGTGATCGTCGAGTAGAGGATGTCTTAGTAAGTCCTCATGATCCGGGAACCTGGCATGAGGGTAGCTTCTAAGGTGTCTTCCCATTGCTCTGGTGATCACCATGTCCCGAACCTCGAATTGACCCGAACACCTCCAACGGTGGTGCTACCTACCTCTCAATGGTGGGACGGCGCTACTTTAAGGACATCTACACAGACGAATTCCTTAGGGTAGGTAGACGACTCTAGATACTTGCTCTAATTTCAAAACAAATTCAAAAATACTTTTCACACCGACACCTTTTCAAAAAGCTTTCGAAAGCAATTTTTCAAACACTCTTGAGGACCGATACAAGAGTCGAACTGGAATTTTCAAAGAAACTTTTTAAAACCCACAGTTGAAAAGCAAAGAAACCATTTTTGAAAACACAAATGAGCAAGTATCTAAGAGCCCATGGATAACCATGGATAGAAAGGGTGCTAACATCTTCCCTTTCTATAACCTACCTCCCGAACCGAGAGCAATCTCTATAAGGAATTTTTCTGTGCTTTTGTCCTTTCCATTTGGAGAAAATAAAAGACGGTGGCGACTCTTGCTTCCGCGACATTTCGCGAACCAGCGTTAAACAGTCAGTTCCAGATCCACCGATCACAACAAGTTTCATGTTTACTTTGTTGTAAATGGTTGAGAAATGGACAAGTTATAGTTGGTCTGGTTGGAGGTTGAAGATGAAGTGTAAATCAGGGCACGCTTTGTATCATATATTTATTGTTTTGCTTATGTTAACAGATGTATAGCCACCCCAGTGGTAGAAGCGCGCGCCTGTAACCTTTGGGACCTAGGTTCGAGCTCCAGTGGCATCCTTTTGATTTTTTTTACATTGTTTTGCATTCTGACCTTTTTTTGCAGGCGCTGGGCCTCCTTGGGCCTTGTTGTTTTTTTGTTTTTGCTTGCCAACCCCCCTGCAGGCTATTCGCACCCATGACCCAGTTTTATTTTCTTTTTCTTATTTTTTATTTATTTATTTTCTTAAATATTTTTCTAATATTAAAAAAATCATAAAAAATATAAAAATAGTAGATTTGTATTATGACATAGTTTATTTATTTTTCTCACACAAAAAATTATTTTATTAATCATACTTTATTTATTTTACTAATTATCTTTGTAAATTTAATTAAAAATATGTTTTAGTTATTTTCTTTTACACCAATTAAAATATATTATTTTAATATAAAAAATCCCAATAATATTTTATAACACTATAATTATTTTCAAGACAAAAATACCAAAAAAATACTTTTCTTATAAACTTAATTTCTTTTTTAATCAATTAATAGATTTAGGGTTTTATTTAAAATCTTTTCTTAGTAAATTTAGGTTTTGTTTTTAATTAATTATTTTTTCTAGCTAATTAGGTTAAAATCAAAACCCCTTTTCTCACGAAAAATCAAACAAATATCTATTTTCTTTGCATTTACATTCTTGCATATTTATCTATTTTTGTACATTTATTTATTCAATTCTTGTACCAATTCAATATGGTTGTAATAGGTTAATTAGGTTTATTTTTTTGCAATCCCCATTTACAATTTGTATACCCCCTCCCGCAAGTATTGTAATAATGCAGTAACTTTAAATTCCTCAATTTATCGCTTTATATATAACATGCTAGTAATTAGAGTTTGTATGGAAAGACTAAAACCAATACTTAGAAAATCCAAATTCAAGACAAAATCAAGCATGAAAACAATACACTTGCACACAAGCACCCCTAGGGTAAATTCACTTGGTTGCCTTTACAAAATGGCCATATTATGCATGCGGGATATCTTAGCAAAAACAAGCAAAGTATAAGATCATAGTCCCTCGATGACGCTATCTAAGTTGCCTTTCAAATGATCTTAGTCCCTAAAAAAGAATGCTAAGATACTTTGCAACATTGCTAATCATGGTTATACGATGACCCACGCCCGCTCCATTTACATCCAAAGATAGGGTTACTGGCCAAATCAATGGTACGATAACAATGTCAAAGGAAAAAGAAAATGAACATGAAAGACTTTTGAGTAGGTAGAATGCTCCTAATTACTTGCTCAATTTCAAAAGATCCTTGCTATTTTCAAAACAAACACCTACACTTTCAAACATCTTACAAACTTGAAAAATTTTCAAAAGATCAAACACTTTGTATACATTCTTACGAACGAGAATCATTACAAAGTTTGCCTAAACAATGGTCTCTTTACAAAATACTTTCAAAAAACCACACAAAGCATTGTTTCAAATAAAAGCAAGTGATCTAGCAAGTAACTAAGAGCCCATGGAAAACGATGGATGAAAATGGTGCTAATACATTCCCTTTTCATAATCTACCCCTGAACTCAAGAAATAATCTCAAAGGTCTTTCCAGTGCTTTTTCACCTTTCCTTTTGGATAAAAGAAAAGTCGGTAACGACTCTTGCTAACCGCAATATTTGCGATCAAACACAAAACACCCAAATCAGTTCTCCCACCGTATCACATACCCTAACAAAAGAAAAAATTATGTTGGAAAAACAATAAAAGTCAACTATAAAATTTTAATAAAATGAATGTAGAATTTTTTAATTTTTAATAAGATTAATTTACAATTTTTAAAGCAAAGTTTTGACATTTAATTTTTAATATGAGGTTAGGGGTGGCAATAGACTATGCCGAATTAGATTTTGTCAAGTCTGAGTCTAGTTTGTTAAAAATTTCAAAGTCTAAATTTAGTCTGTGGTCTATCAAAGACTTATTTTTAAATTTGAATTTAGTTTTTTCAAAAGTCTGATTGACCTATTAGGCTACATAAAATTCTATTTTATTTAAGCATTTTGAAATAAACATTTCAACTAATATTAAAATAGATTAACACTTTAAAAATTAATTAGACTAAATTCTTATTTACATTGATTTATTCAAATATATATATTAATATATTTTATAATACTATTTATTTAAGAGAATTTATAAAAATAATTTATAATATTATTTATAAATTTTTTTTAACGTATTTTCATAAATTCTTTTAAACATTTAAATATTTTAATTTAAAATATAAATAGTATATAATAATAAAATTATTCATATTATTTAAATGAGTATGCTGATAGATTTAAAAGATTTCTTTTATTACCCCTATTTTCACCCCGTTATGAATAACATTACCCATTTTTAATTAAAAAAATAAAGAAAAGAAGTTGAATCCTGTTAACCTCTCCGCCGTACCATTACCGCCGACGACCCATTTTCCGCCTCAGCTTTGCTCCGCCGACACTGTTACCGGTTCCTATTTTTTTTATTGCAGTCTTGATTGTTCTTTTTATTTTCTCTCTGTTACAACCATTTGAATAGTGTGAGGATTTATGAAGGTTGGGTTCTGATAAAATGCTGAGAACGAGAATTTTCCATTCACGAAGGTGGCTTTGTAGAAGCTTCTCCAACATTCTTCACTCGGCGCCTTTGCGAGTGTGTGTGGTTGGAAGTGGCCCTGCCGGTTGCTACACTGCCGAGAAGGTTTGTTAGCTCTGTAAACTTTTTAGGTTTTTTAATTTTGAATTTTGAAATTTGAAATTTGAAAATGGGAACGAAATTCGTAATTGGATTGCATTTGTTTTAGTTGTTGAAGGCGCATCAACAAGCTCAAGTTGATATCATTGATAGGTTGCCTACGCCTTTTGGGTTGGTTCGGTCCGGTGTTGCGCCTGATCACCCTGAAACTAAGGTCTACTTTTGTTACAATTGTTGTAGTTCTTATTAGTTTCCGGTTTAAATTGGTTTATTTGAGTTTGTGAGATGTTTGGGAGAGTTTATGGAAAACATGTTTATAGATTATGAAAACAACTTATAGGTTATGTGAAAATAATTTGACTTTATTTTCATAAACTCTTGTTTGAAGAATGATCACAAATGCATGCCATATTTGTGGTGCTGAATTCTTTATAATTAACATGTAATGTTTTTTATTTTAAGGTTTTGTTTGGGAGTTTAGGAGAGGACCAGGTTGTCAAATTCACAATCTAGATCTTAAAATCTTACGATTTTGCGATCCCATTCACCCCCAACTATTACAATCTTAAGTAGAATCGGATGTTGTAACTAAATTGTGAAAAATATCGTAAAACCATTGATTATGGTGTGATCTTGGCCAGTTCCGACCATAATCGACCGTTTTCGGTCACCACCATTACAAGCCGAGATGCAACAATTACGGTTCAACGGAGGCAATTTTCCCGCTAATACACTTGCCAACCAAAATATCATGTAAAAAACTTCTAATTTATAGTATTATGTTTCTTTTTTTCAGTAATATCTTACGTTTTTTGCTATGATCTTATGTTTTATGATCTCGCTACCCCCTCGCGATCTTACAAAAATAATTGGGTAGTATCTTACGATTTTAGTTAGAATCTTATGTTTTACGATCTTACTATCCCCTCTCGATTTTATGCAAGATCCCGATTTTGACAACCTTGGGAGAGGAGGGTAATGGAGGGTTTTGAAAAAAAGAAAGGATGAAGTGGGAGGGTTTTGAGATTAAATATTAAAAAATTTAATCTTTTACTATTTCGGTGTTGGGTTTGAGATGGTCATTTTGGGTTATCATTGTAGGAATTAGGGTAGTTTGTTTTGTAGAGAAGATGGTAGAGTCGCGTGTTTCTTTTTCCCGAGAAAAAGCAGTGCCTCTGTGTTAGGTACTTTGTACATGTGTGAAGATTCGTAGAAACAAACACTGGTAAAGGGTTGATTATATAGAAATTAGTTATAATTAGCAATAGGGGGAGACCAAGGAAAACTATATGTCAAATTATCAATTGTGATTCAGTATTAAACAATCTATCTTTGGATTTAGTACTTGGCAGAACATTATAATGTCATTTGAGCCATGTACTTGCTGCCTAGTGGGAAAAATGTTTGGTTGTTAATTTGTTATTATTGTTTGGGGTTGGGATAGGGTTTTCTATATTTTTCTTTGATGAGAGTAACTCTATGGAGCTTAGTTTACCAGAAAACTTGCAACAGATTGTCGTCAACCAATTTTCAAGGGTGGCACAACATGAACGGTGCTCATTTTTTGGAAACGTGACCCTTGGATCCAGCATATCTCTTTCTGAATTACGCAAGCTGTATGATGTGGTGAGCCTTTGGTTCTGAATTTGTTATGCCAATGGTAAAATGTTCCATGTGCATATTGATCAGCTGTACTATCTTTTTCAATGACTCCTTTATGCATTCGAGCAGGTTGTCCTTGCATATGGTGCTGAAAGCGACAGAAATCTTGGTATTCCAGGAGAAGTATGCTTGATTTATTCATTTTTCTTTTTTCCTTAATTATAGTGATATGATGCTGGATTATTTGAATTCATTGATACTTCCCATAGTATAAGTGACGTTTTATTGTTTGTCATGTGACAGTCTCAGTTGTGCATTAACTGATGATTTGTTGCTTTCTTTATAATGACTTGTTTACGATTTTTTCTTCTCAGAACTTAAAAGGGGTAATATCAGCCAGAGAATTCGTTTGGTGGTATAATGGGCACCCAGATGGACGAAATCTTGATCCAGACCTGAAGAGCACTGATACAGCTGTAATTCTTGGACAGGTAACTCTACCTCATGTATTCTTACAATGGCTGAATTTTACAGCGACTCTTAGCTGAGCAAATGCTATAACGTTTTGTTCATAAGAAAAGATACTTGCAGTAAATGAATGTTAAGTAATACTTGTAGTAAACAAATGTTAAGTACATACTTGCGAGATGACTTTTCAAAATATATAAAGCAGCTTGGTGCTATTAAACTCCTACCATGATGGTGTACATATTAGGGTTGATCCATTGTGGGTGTGTTGATTCCACAGCTCAAATCCTAACCAATTAGATGACTTATATTGATTTAATTTTTAAATTTGATTAAGGTTTACTAGAGAAACGGTTTTATTTAATTTCAGGGGAATGTTGCTTTAGATGTTGCACGTATTCTTTTACGACCTACTGCAGAGTTAGCAACAACTGATATTGCCAATCATGCTTTGGCTGCTTTAGAGGAAAGCACTATCAGGTTTCAATTGCATTATTTGAAACAACCAGATTTCTTATTGATATTATTCAGCATGTTGTTTATCAGTAATATAAGCAATATTGCAGGGTAGTTTATTTGGTTGGAAGACGTGGTCCAGCTCAAGCAGCTTGTACTGCCAAAGAGCTACGTGAAGTTCTCGGTAATTTTTGCATAAAGTCCTATACCGAATCTATTTTACCTATTTAGTTTTCTTATTCATATTTGTTTGATTCTTTTTGGTGTCGTCCTATGTAACTGTTTGGAAAAGGCACTTTGGCTATATGATGTACCACATAATGACTTTCTTTGTTAGACATGGATGTTTCCTTTGTAAAAGGATACTACTCAGTTTACATAGTTAGTATACCTTGTTGTGTTGGTTTCTAATTCTCCATAGATTTCCGTGATTTCAGTTTTTGGCTTGCCGTTTGATATATTATTATATTGGTTTATCATCCTTATCTGTATTGGTCACAGTTACTGTTTTACACCATTCCTACTTACATTACACTAACTGAAGCTCCGACATCTATTTACAGGTATTCGCAATCTTGATATTTCAATACAGGAATCTGATCTACTTCTAACCCCAGCTGATGAGGTATAAAATGAGCCAATTTTATTTAATTCATCATTATTTTTCCAATCTTCACCCAGGAAACATGAAAATATAAAGATTCTCTGAGTAGCATCTATTTTCTACTTGCTATTTTGCAGTTCTATTTTTCCTGTTTTGCATCTTCTATCTAGAATCTAAATATGTTATTCTGTAAGTTTTTTTTAGAATTATAAAAAAATAAGTTAGATTTCTTTTCACTAATGTTATCAATGTATTGATGTTGTCACTTGGCAAAGGAAGAGCTTAAGAGCAACCGAATACACAGAAGAATTTTTGAGTTGTTATCCAAGGCAGCTACCTCAAGACCAAGACATGCTGATTTGAACCAGCGCCAGCTCTGTTTTGTGTTCTTCCGTAAGCCAGATAGCTTTCAAGAATCAAAAAACAGTACTGGCCATGTCTCCGGTGTGCGTTTTGAGAAGACAGTTCTTAAAGGTAATTTTCATTTTTATAAGAAATTAATCTATTAGAATTTAGAACATGGATAATACAATATAATATAATAGAATACGATCAATAGTTTAAAATTGGCTTAATTTATTGTGGTAACAGATAAGCCCAATGCATATACACTACTGGGATTGTTTGAAGTGTCATTAGATATGAGTCTTTTTTACCATTATATTCTTTTTTGATTACCCAAATTGATTTTATAGGTGCTGGCCCTGGAAAACAAATTGCCGTTGGTACCGGAGAATTTGAAGAAATAAAATGCGGGTATACCCAAGAAACAATCTTAAATCACAGTTTTTTATTTGTAAAAATTGTTATCATTTGGCATGAAGTATTTTCTGCTGATATTATTATATTCAAAGCTTGATATGTTATAGTGTATTATATATTATATATCCTACAGAGTAAAGAGATTATCAAATTTCTCTGCAAATGACTGATTGCAGCCTCCACCGATATTTATTCCTGCACTGTTATCACAAAATGGTCCGAATATTTACTGATTACGTTGCGACTTGCTGGCTTTTTTGTAGGATGGTTCTTAAGAGCATTGGTTACAAATCCGTACCGGTAGATGGCCTACCTTTTGATCATAAGAAAGGTGAAGGAACAAAGAGTGCTCCAGTTTAATCACTTTTAGTTCATATTATTGTCAATTAATGTTACATATTATCTTGTGACAAAGCCATGCTTTTTTATTCAATGTTAATTTCAAAATATGCTTGATTCTAGAAATTTCTGCTGATTTTGGGAAAATGGTACTTTCTAAAGCCTTTTTCTCACTGGGATGTGATTTGTTTAATTTTTGGGACACGTGGTCTTGTCGATGGCAGGATTTTGAACACTACATTGTTTGATTGATTGTAACCATATTAGACTTAGCAGTTGATCAGAGATTCAGAAGTTTTTAAGTGGCAATAAAACTGTACGTGCATGGCACAAATTTCAATCCTTAAAGTCATAATTTTAGATTCAACTTGCACTAGTGTATTCACTGATTTTTTTTCTTGAATGTCTTTTGGTATGAGTTATAAATGGATTCGGTTGCTGTTTTGGGATTGTGCAATTTTTTATTTTTTATTTTCCTCTGTTCATTGTAGATTAAGAGATTGGAGGGTTCTAATCTTCCTGCTTTGTATTCTCTGCTTTTGCTGATAACTCATGCATTATAAAAAATATTACGTTTGTAATTTTCAGACATTGGCCAATAATTAAGAAACATGATACTTTAGGGCATCAAGATGTATCATCTGACAGTAGTTCTTAGTTATAATATATATGATGTATTTCTTTCAGGTATAGTTCCAAATGATGAAGGTCGAGTGTTGAGTGACACTTTAGATACTGCAGTTCTTGAAGAAGGCTTGTATGTATGTGGTTGGCTGAAGAGAGGACCAACTGGGATTGTTGCAACAAACCTATATTGTGCTGAAGAAACTGTATGTGTCTCTTTCTATTCTATTCATATTATTCCTATAACAGTTAAACTGTCAAAAGTTACAAATCTTACAGTTTTCATCAGAATTCTTAAAGTTGTGTCCGAGTAAATGAGCTCAAAGTTAGCTTTTAGTAGTTTGGTTGTTACCCATTTACCGTAACCTGAATTTTAAGGGTTTGAATCAAACAGATAATGTTTTTTCTTGTGTTATTTAGCTGGAGTTCTTCATTGTTCCTTTGTCTATATTAAGAACCTGCTGCATTAGTGCCAGTCAGATCTAGCTCAACTACTAATATTGTATCAAAGCTTTGCTTCAACAGCCTCTCAAACCCATATTTCTCGATTCCCAATTCCTGGTCAAGCTCTAGTTTTCTCATTTTGTGTTCCCTGTCCCGAATCTGGGGCATATTCTCCATAATATTTCCTTGGTGGGTTCATCAAGAAGAATTTACATAAGATCCTTTCTTTGCTAGTTTAGCACACAAATCATAGTCGGTCCTCTCAATGATTCGTAAGTGTTATTCAGCTTATCCAATTGCAATACCATGCCTGAAAAATTCCCACGAGGCAGAGGTGGCATGCAAATTTCTGGTCAATAAGGCAGAGGGAGAACGCCATAATAAGATGAGAACAGTAATGCTATTGGCTAACCATCACTGATAGATTATAGTGGTCCAAGTCTTTCCTTCAGTCCACAGCAGTATGAACACATGACGCCTTTTTCATCAGTCAGATACTTCCCCAATCTCACATTTAACTAACCAAACCAACTCCCTTAACCTTGACATTCAATTACTCAGAACATGTTAGGTAAAGAACTTAAATAGTAACTTAACGAGTAATTCTAGGATTGTTAATTAATGCTTATGTATAAGCTATTCTGAGAAGTTTACTAAAATAATATAAAATATGGCTATGTCAAGTTATTTTTACAAGTGTAGTCAAATATTTGTACAAGTACTTATGTAATGAGATAAGTCTAAATAATTTCTTCTCAATGTTGACTTAGTCCCACTTCGTGAGGAACATTCTTTTTTCCTTTTGGAGTTCTATTTCAGTAGCATGCATATTGGGGATATTGATTGTGTCTGTTTCCTACTGTGCTCTTCATTACACTTAGAAGAATTAAACTGTTTGTCGTCAAGCTACAATTTTGTATTACTATCACACTTATGATTGCGCAAATTTCACGAACCACATTTTTCTCAGGCACTATTTGATAAATTTTTTGTATAACCAAATTTTCATTTCAACTATGTCATCCAAGTCACACACAGTTCACTGTGAAAGCCTATTTTATCCTTCAAAATGCTTAATTTGGGACATGTTACATAGAATATGATTACTTGAATGTGATTACTGCTTTTGTATTTTCTGCTGACAATTGACATGATAGGTTTCAAGCATATTAGAAGACCTTGAGAAAGGAGCTTTGATTTCATCAACGGCCGCGTCAAAACCAGGTAGGGACGGTCTCCTCAGTCTTTTGCACGATAGAAATGTACGAAATTTCTCATTCAATGATTGGGAAAAGATAGACTCTGAAGAAAGGAAGCTTGGAAGTTTAAGGAACAAGCCTAGGGAAAAACTAGCCACTTGGAACGAACTACTGACAGTTACCTCAGAAGGAACCGGATATTCAACGTGATACATGCCTGGTAAACATCTTTTCATGCACCAAGAAAACACTAAATAATTGAAAGAAGACTTTCACAATCCGCATTCATTGGCGAAGATATCAACAAGGGAAATCCGGTTCAGGAGTTCTCGTACTTGTAAAATGATTTTTGGATTGCAATACTAATCATGCACACGATAAGCTGTTGAGCAATTATAATCGCCTGATTATTGTCTTATTGATACTTTCGATTGTCTGTGTACACTATTTTTGTATTAAATTAAATAAGCAATGTCATATTACAAAGATAATTTACAATAATTGTTATTATTGTAAACATTTAAAAACTTATTTGCCTATAGTTCATTGTACACAGCAAGCAAAATTTGCAGTACAGCCTGTACTCAGCTGCCTAAATGATATGATGCACTAAGATCTTAACATCAACCAAACTGGAGTGGAGTAGGCCATCACCAAACGGTCTATTTCAGATTGAAATTATTGTCTCTGCATATCTTTTTATAACATTTGACTTATTTTGAAGTGACGCACGATGTGGACCCAAAAAGCCGAAAGAGGTGACCCAACAAAGTGATTTTCTGAAGATTATGTTTGGGTGGCTCTGCCTCTGGCTCCATCACAGACTGTAAAACACATGCTATCACAGGGAAGGATATTCTTTCATATTTTTGGTGTATTATATCCAATGGCTTATATTTTACTTTGGTTCATTCAATGGTATAAATTCAATGTCTCACATGTTATGTTTGGTTGGTTTGAAACATTATTTTCAAGTAAATATTCATGTTTCATTCTGCTGATCCCCACAAGGGGAACTATATTCACCCAAGATTGGTTTTTGCCAAATCCATCATTTTTATGTCTTAACGGTGTGTTTAGTAATGTAATCATCCTAAAGCAGGGTCATCAAATATTGTTAAGTGCTAATTGATGCAGCTGATTATTTCATGCAGTAAAGGTACTTTCATCCATTCAAAACTAAATTTAAAGTGAGTTTTTCAATTTTATCTATTGATTATAATATGTGATTAAAAAAGATCTAGAGATTAACGATTTGGAGAGAAATATGGTTCTGAATAGAACGTTATGACGTCAGTTGATTCATGTAGCCGACTCTATTTAGTTTGATAAGATTTGATTGTTGTTGTGTTTTGGCAAACAAAGGGAATCCATTTTCATTAGTACACATTCGTACATATGATAAGATAAGATAATGAAATAGATGGACATGATTTCACTTCACTGTTATGAGATGAAATATAGTCCACAAACCATGAGTCTTTCTAGAAATGAAATGGGATTCTCACAATTCTCTTTGCATGGCTCTAAACTTAATTAGTCAATCATTCAGATTTCAGGTCTTTCAAGGGTTTCATACTTTGTCTGTTTTGTAGGTTTTTTAAAAATCTTTTTGCATAAACCTCAAACTTCAAAATCTGGAAAAAGGAAGGAATATGGTATAAATTTTCTTTGGACCAAATATTACTGACATATGATTGGAGAGGCTTCTCATAACATGTCAATTTTTTTCAATGGTATAAAATTTTATATTACATTTGAAAAAAATGATAGTCAATATACAATGTTTACTGATTTATAAGTCGAGATTCATGGAAGTGTAAAAATAAGACAGAAGAATAAAAGCCATTTTCTAAGAATTCGAATCTTTAGTGCTACTAGTCCATTGCATTTTTAGTGGGAATCAAATTCTAACACTACAAGTAAAAATCATTTCATATGATAATTTAAATTTTTAGTTGATTTGAGTCTCATTTTGGTTGTGATCCATTCTGTCAGAGATTTATAATTAGACGTGCACTTTTTAAAATGAAATTATATCTATCCTCCTTTAGTTATGTTATATCTCTTGTGAAATTGTATGAATAATTAAAATCATTTTTAAAGTAGTATTTAGAGTTTAATCACACGAATTTGACGTGAGACAGAATAATGATAATCAAAATAAACGGTCTTCAACAGTACTAATTTTCAATACAATAAGATAGTGAGTTAATTTGCAGAAGAAGATACAAGAAATACAAGATTTGTTTATCTAATTTGATAAAATAATTTATGGAGACAACATCTCTTCAATACTCTTAAAGTTGTTACAAGAGATCACAAATGAGTTACAAAAGAATAGTTTTTAAAATTTTTAAAAACAAATTATATTTTTTACCTAAGTGTTTTTCAATCTCTCAACTCTTAATATAGTATTCACACAAATCTAAAATGTTTAGAAATATTTCTCAATTCTTTAGATAACTTCAAAGATTTTTCTAAAAATCATAAATCCTTATTTCTATCTCAGCTCTTAAGTTCTAAAAAATTGACGAACTACAATAATAAAGGAGATACATATTTATAATTGTGAAAATTCAATAGATCCATACAAAAATCTCAAAAGAAATTCCATTAATTATTTGAATAAAATATATTATTAATATTCTATAATATTTTTTTTAATATTAATTTATAGTATAGCTAAATTAATAAAAAAAAATATATCTTGTATTTTAATATCAATGAAGGTATCCACGAAATAAATCAATCAAATATGATATTTGTGAATCGTTTGTACTAGACATTTTTGTTGCTTTTTGACTTCTTATTTTTTGGCAATCTCGAACATGTTTTCTTTCTCTTCATCACTTAAGATTTTAAGGTATATTTCAATAATCTCCACCTTAATTTGAAACTGCGGTGATGTCAATTTAACCATCAACCATTTGTTGCTCTTTACCACGCTGAAATATTGTTCAACAATCTTGATCAAGTTCAAGACACTCTTGAACCTTAATCTCGTCAGTTGCATTCACTTGTTTCTAATCATTTTTTTACCTAGGTAAACTAACAAGTCTACAAGCATGGTTGTTCAACCATCATTGACTCACCTGCTTTTGAATGTTACCCTGAAGGTCATTCTTTTTTAGTTTTGTAATCTTTCAGCCACATTCAAAGCATAACACATATGACTAGTATAATTGTCCCTTTGAGATGTTATAATCTCTCTCTTTACTTTATCACGAGTCAAATGATAATTAAATGTTTATGTAACCATTCCCCCCATTATTACTAGTATTTATATTAGGAAATTCCGTCTCAAATTGAGTTTTCTTCGCTATAGTTACTAAAAGGTTAATCTTTTGGTTTTTTCTCTTATTCCTCTTACGAGACTCTATGCCAACCAAGTAAGTTGCTTTGGCACCAGCCTTATTCTAAAAGCTCAATGACAATTCAGCTGTCACATGCGTTTTTAACCTCTGTCTTCTGAAAAATTCATTAAAGTGTTATGAAACAACCTTCATGCAATCATCATGCCTTGACCTCAAATCCCATAGCTTGTTCATGTCATGAAATTTCTCACTAGTTGATGATGAATGAATAACAACATTTGAACATTCTAAAATATATAGACCACATATTTTAGATCATTTATCTATGATCACATTAATTTACAAAATATTTAACACCCCAAGTTCAACTCTAGCGTAATAGCCTAGATCATCAAACATGCTTATGGATAATAAATTTCGCATGATTTTTGGAATATACCTCATGTTATGAAGAAGAAACTCACGAAACTCTAAAACTTTAAGTATGACTGACCAATATCATGAACCTTGCAAGCCTTATTGACACCAAGGAGAACTACTCCCCCTTTCTTCAACTTTAAAGTCTCAAAGTATTCTTTTTTTGGACATATGTGATGAGAACAACCTGATTCAATGATTCCATTCTCTTTAGCCTCCAAACTCAACACCAATAGTATACCATCACTTTCATAACTATCCTTATCTAAGACAATTGTAACCTGAAAAATAATCATCATTGTCTTTCCTCTCGGGACAATTACCTCTTGCAGTGACCCGTGTTTTGACAATTATAATATTTTACCTTTGACTTGTCAAACTTATTTGATTTGAACATCCCTTTACTCTCACTTACTCTTCTTAGAGCACTCAATCCTTTGCCACTATCATCAATCTTCAAATATTTCACCTTTGAAAATTCTTTAGATATCACACTCGTCTGGATTTCACTTAAAGTAATTGTTGAAACTGTATTTCATATATTATAATGAAGAGAAAAATACACGCACGCACACACGCACACGCACACACACACATAATATTTGATACCATAATATCCTAAATAATATCTTAATTAATATTACTAATAAAAGCAATGGATACTGAATAGTAATAAAGTAATATCTTAACACTTCCCCCCAAGGTGGTGCGTATACATCATAAGCATCCATCTTGTCACATATGTATGTAATCCGAGGTCTTCGAAGAGATTTTGTAAAGAGGTCAACAAGTTGATCCTTGGAATTAACAAAGATGGTTCTGATGGTCTCAGTGGTAATCTTCTCTCTAAGAAAGTGACAATCAACTTATATATGCTTTGTTCTTTCATGAAAAACTGGATTGGAGGAGAGTTGCAAAGTTGATTGGTTGTCACATGCAATTTTCTTAGGGCCGACTTCATAAAAATGAAGTTCCTATAGTAAATACTTTAACCACAAGAGCTCACATGTTGCATGAGCCATGGCTCGATACTCAACTTTTATACTTGATCGAGAAACAACCATTTGCTTTTTGCTTTTCCAAGAGATCAAATTTGCACCAATAAAAACACAATAACCCGATGTAGAACGTCTATCACTTGCATCTCTTGCACAATTAGCATCTGAATATCCAATGATATCAGTGTTGGCTTTATCACAGAAAACAAGTCCTTTTCCAGGTGATCCTTTGATAGACTTAAGGGTTCGAATAACAACATCCCAATGGTTGTCTCAAGGAGAATTCAAGAACTGACTTACTACACTAACTAGAAAAGATATATCAGGTCTAGTCAAGGTAAGATAATTAAAATTTGCTACAAGTCTCTGATATCTTCCTGGATCAGTATATGGCTCCCCCTGATTAGGAATAAGGTTTATATTAGGATCCATATGAGTGTCAACTGGTTTGCAATCTGTAAGACCTGTTTCTTCCAAA